CCCTCTCTCTCTCTCTCTCAGCACACGATGATGGATCATTCATAAACAAACTACAAACTAGCAGACAGCTGGCACGAACACACACTCATACAGCGGTGCTCTAACGCTGTGTTTCCGCACAGCTGCTCACATTATACCGATCCAGGCAGACACTCGTTCAGGGTTTCTAAAAGGGTTTTAAAGTCGCCTACCCAAACTCCAGATGAATCGCTATGGGCGCTGCCATATTGTCGGCACATGCAGGAAGTAGAGGAAGGGGAAGTCGGAAGTGACGTATTCGGATACGTTTTTCCCAGTGTGGTTAGGAGACAGCGATCTGAAAGCAAACTCCTTTAATTATGATTGAACAAGTATTTCATGAAATAAGTATATTTGATAAAAATACGTTGTATAGCCTTCTGTAATGAAATATATATATATATATATATATATTTATTTATTTATTTATTTATTTTTTTCACTATTCAAAATATAGTCCACTACACAGTGCTGCCTGTGCGAGTCAATGTTTTAATGTTATGGTTCATTGAGATCTTTGACCTCAACACGAGGTCAAAGATCCCCGCTTAAGGGTTTTTGAGCAGCTGAGAGTCTAAAGAGACGTTTTTTATTCAGATATTCAAATTTTATTTTAATTGTTTCCATAATTTCAGTTTTTTACACTTTCAGTTATACACCCAAACTTGGTCCTGGAGGCATTTTGGCCATGGTTCTAATCTGCACAACCGCAGAGTCAGCATTGCAAATCGAAACTCTTTTATCCCAAGGCAAGGAAAGTTTGTATATTTAATGTAATTTAAAACATAAAGAAAAACAGCATAAAAACATTAAATAAAATGAAAAAGAATAGAAATGTTAAAAGTTTAGAATAGAGGCGTAAATACATAGGAGCACAAAATGAGCATATCAGATTCAGTCAAAGCCATAAGCAGTTCCAGCTCTGTGGTGCACATAGTTAATGCTCCTCCATGTTTAGTTTGCAGTCTGGGAACAGTTAGCAACCCCTCTGCCTGATGACCTGAGAGACTGAGAGGGTTCAAAAGACAGTCAGAGGTGTATTTTGGTCCTAAGGGTAAAAATAAGTTAAATAAATTGCCTGATGCACTTCATTCTAAGCCAAATTACTACAAAGCCTTATGGTGGTGCCCCCATTTATGAACTGGTATTCCCTTGGACTTTATTTTAGAATATCATTATATTAGAAAGTCATTAGTATATACAGCACTCTTTCTCTCACACGCCCTGTGCACGTGCATTGAATTTGCATTGTGTATGTCAATATTAAACTGTGCAGAGGCATGACACGAGTGTGTGTCTATCCCCTCTCTCCCTCCTTACATACGTCCTCAATCATACTGGTGACATTTCCAGTCCCAGTATACAGGGGACGAAGAGGTGGGGGTGGTAGAGGGTCGGTCAGAGGTTTGAATTGCAAATCCGCTGCCTTCTGTTGGCGTCCAAGCCTTAGTAGGCCCTTCCCTGTCTACATTCATGTGTTAATGAGGAGTCAGTGCAGGGGCAGATAGACAGATCGAACAGGGGCCTGGCGGGGGGCGAGGGAAGAGTGAGGCGTGGATGAGGCGGCAGGCGGGAAAACGAGGGTGTCCTCTGATGGTGGAGGCCGCAGTGGCAGTCTAGAAAGATAATGAAGACATGATGTGTACCATTCGTGGTTGCAGCATCCTCACAAGTGAAAACAGACAGGGTGAGCCCAGTCGGAGGCAACACAGGCAGAAGATGGGGAGTGGGTGGGATTGTTATGGCTCTAAGTTTCCTGAGTTATCCTGGAATCACAGCAGCACTGCGTGTCACATCACATCTGCTAATCTGCTTTGACGTTCACCTAAAGCTGTGGATGGTACACTGCGCTTCCTCTGTTGTTCTTTTGATGGATTTCTTGTGCTTTCTTCAACCCTGTACATGTATCTGATAGGTGTACGCAAATAGTTGCAGTACTATTTAATATGATTCTTTGTTTTACAGGTGTAGATATTCAAATTTGATTTTGAAACAAGATGCTTTTGGGATATATATATATATATATATTTATATATATTACCAAGATGATGTGAAATAGCTGTTAACTTCAGCCTTTGTGGACAAAGATTGCTCAATAGAAATAGCTGTTAACTTCAGCCTTTGTGGACAAAGATTGCTCAAT